TTCACATTTGAACCTGAACTACAGCACTGGCTCTTACAGCGATTCTGGCAGGGCCGCTCTGCCAGTTTTGGACTTGCTAACCTCTATAATCAAATAAACCAATTTTTAAAAAGCCAATGTATCTCTCTATGTATTTACATACATGCATAGTATACATGCATATAAAAATACATATATTCATCTCCGTTCAGTTTCTCTGACTAACCCAGAGTAACACGGGAATGAAAATGTCCCCAGCCCTGGCAGAGAGCTAAAAGCCTGAAGGAAGGACTGCCTGCAGAGGACATTTTGTCCTGCTTCTCACCAAGGTCTCCCCGAGCCAGCGGCAGTCCTGTGTGTCCCTACCCGGGCTATCCCCTCCCCTACCTGCCCTTCCTTCCTGTCTTTGTTCTGGCTGGTCTTGCACCCCACCGTGTTGTCTCTCTGGCCACGATTCCCAGGTTGAATAATCAACTGACATCTTTGGGGCCGGAGCTTCTTCTCTCTTCTTCTGAACTTTCAATGCAACCCGAGAGAAACAAACCACCCTCCACATGTTCCTGTGGGCGTGTCTATCTCGTCCTCATTGACACCCCAAGATCTCTTCTGAGTCTCCATAGACACTCCAGGCATGCATTCCACCAAGAACATTAAATACCTGCAATATACAGCATTCATGAAAACATGATGCACTCAACCCTGGCAGCGATGGGAAGCCACACAATAAAGCCGCTTCTATATTCCTACACTCCTGACAGCGGAGTTCAAATGCAGAAGACTGACATAAACGTGTTCCGGAGGACATCAGCCACACAAGGGCTTCCCCGAACAAAGGCATTCCCAATCGACTCTAGCCAGTGACCTCATTCTCTTTAGCTTCTCACACAGTTCCAGAGGTGAAAGTCTATGTTCCATGACAACAATAAACCCCCATCATTTCTCCTTTGATTGCTCTGTTTTGCTTTTCTGTATTTCAACGAAGTTTCATTATACAGCCCAGATATGTATAATGGTCCTCTGATGGGAGATGTCCGTCCATTTGTATATGTGTTGTTTTTATTGGTTGATAAATAAAGCTGTTTGGGCCAATGGCTTAGCAGAGTAAAGTCAGGCAGGAAATCCGAACAGAGATATAGAGAGAGGGTAGGCGGAGTCAGAGAGACGCTATGTAGCTGCAGAAGGAAGAAGACACGCTGGAACCTTACTGGTAGGCCACAGCCTCATGGTGATACACAGATTAATAGAAATGGGTTCATTTAAGATTTAAGAGTTAGTTAATAAGAAGCCTGAGCTAATAGGTCAAACAGTGCTATAATTAATATGGTTTCTGTGTGATTATTCGGGTCGGAGCAGTCTCAGTTTACAGTGCTCAACCTCTGAGTGTGACCAGGCATTTATTACCTAGGTCAGTCTACCTCCCGCCATGGGGTCTGGAATGAGGTAAAACCATAATTGGCCACATCAGGGTCTAAAAATAATTTCCTTTTCACATATTCCAGCTGTTTTTAGAAGCAAGGAAAAAAGAAGGAAGGAAACGGTGTTGAGCCATCTAAAAGGCTGTTAGAACTGGTGGGAGGCCCCAGGGGGTACCTCCCCACGTGAAGAAGATGTAAGGATGGGTTCATGGTTATCCAGGGAACTCATACATGAGGTCAAAGACTGGGTGGGGGCAGGAGGTGCAGAATTCTTGCCTCATGATTAGGAAACAAAGAGAGACAGAATAGGGCTAACAATTCCCTTCAAGGGTCCCTGTGATGGTCAGTCTTAGCAGTCACTGTGATGGTATTTAGCATTATCACAGAAATGAACCTCCGTGTGTCTGTAAAGAATCCTCTCCGTTGGGTTAATTGAGGTAAGAAGACCCACCTTGAAAGGCCTGTGGCAGGCTGGGGTCCCAAGCTGAATGAGGAGGCAGAGCTAATGAGCAGCATTCACTGTCACGGGCTTCCTGACTGCAAGTTCACATGACGGCCTCCCACTCCTGCCACCGTGCATGATGGCCTTCATGACGGACTGCGCCCTCAGACCGAGAGCCACAATCAACCCCTCCTTCCTGGCGCTGCTTCTTCTCAGGTATTTACCACAGCAATAAGAAAAGTGTGACTACAACAGTTCCCCATGGCCTAAGGTCCTCCGGGGGGCCTTTCTACTAGAGGGAGAATGCCAGGGGTCCAGGGCCCAAGCCTTCAAAACACAGACCTTTAGAGAACAAAACAGCCAACAGCCTCATGACTTAGGCCTGCACCTGCCCCCCTTCATGGTGAAGAGGTGTTAGTCTGGCTTCCTTGGGCCATGTCCAAGAATAAAAAGAGCCTGAACCTCATTCCGGGCATCCCTTGGCAAGAAAGGGGCGGGGTTCCAACACACACCCTTGACTTGTGAACTTAGGTGCCATCTGCTGGCCAAGGAAGGTACTGCATTTGGACCTGTCGCTCTAAGGGTAGTCAGGGAACAGGGCTGACTTAGTCCAAGCTATGGTTACTTCTGAGACAGCAGAAAATATCCCTTTCTTTAGGGACCAAATCTTAGGCCTCTTCTGTTTTTTTGTTTTGTTTTGTTTTGTTTTGTTTTTTGGTTGTTTTCGGGATAAAGTTTCTCCGTAGCTTTGGAGCCTGTCCTGGAACTAGCGTGTCCGTGCCACCACTGCCCGGTTCGGGCCTCCTTCACTTAGCCAAATGAAGTCCTTCGATGACCTTTTCTCTACACGGATAGGACCATCTGATGCCAAGGAGCTGGGATTCATCTGGAACCAAATGTAACCATGGAGTTAAGAGTCCAGGGATGCTGTAGACTCCATCTTATGCACCATCCCTAGAGTGGAGACACCCTCTTAGACCAGCCCTCACTACCTGGAACAGGAAATGACTCGAGTGTACAACTGATGTTCAGGGACTCTGTGGATGGAAAAGGTCCTGGAGAAACACGTGAAAGCATCCTCCGCTCCTGCCCACCCTTGCTGTAGTCTGAGAAGCAGGCGTACTCACACAATCTTTGAACTTGGGATGATCTTAAACTTAACTTTGGCTGAGGAGGCAAGGACTGGGGTGCTAGGAAAAGGGTGATATATGATATTCAGCTTCTATATCCTAGAAACGAGGGGCGGAGCCCGGCTGCCATAGGAGGGCCTGCAGCTGGAGGGGGCAGGAATCAGCGCAGCCTGACAATGCTGTCCCTAAAGAGAGAGTTCTTCCCAAGCAGCATCATGGGAGGGCTTGGGGGAGGAGAGAGCGAGCGCAGAGTGAGTGATTTCCTCCGCCCTCACACCCCCACACTCACCTACCCGGCCTCCCACACAGCCCCTTTCCCCTCCCCTCCACCCACAGATGAAAAAGTGTGTCATCAGGGAACAAATGCCACCTTCCCAAGGGGTGGGGGGACTTCCTGAGTACCTATGGCACCGAAGGTTTCTAAGCTCCCCAGCGATGAGCCTCTCAGAACTGTGACCTGGACACCACTCTCTCAAGAGAACTACAAACTGGGGCAGTAGCCACAGAGCCACTAGGCTTAGGACTACTGGCTAGAAAAAGCTGGAGAAGTCGGCCTGATACTCAGGAGACATCTTCCAAGCCCAGGCAGCCTGCAGCCAGCTGGTTGGCCCACTGTGACTGCTGACACCTCTGACCTGTCACTTCCCTCTACCCTGGCCTGGTCTAGAAGAAGCCACTAACCTATTCTTGCCCCAGCCCTCACCCAGATGCTTCCAGGGGTGAATCTTCTACCACCCCTCTCTCACATGCACCCCTGCTGAGCTGCCACATGCCAGCCGTGATGCGCTCAGCACTGTTATTACAGTGAGTTCTTTCGTTTTAGCTTGGGAGGGAGGTGAATCTCACACTGTTGAAAGTCAGAGGCCAACAGTCTCAGCAAGAAGCAAAGGCAGGCCGGGCTAGCACCAGGTCAACCCTGACCCTGCTGTCCTGGGCTCCTCTATCCCAGCCCTGCTGCTCCTAGCCTCCAGCTTTCTCCCTGACTCCAGCCTTAAGTCGGGTCTGCCATTCATTCCTTCTCTCTCCTTCTGGAAGAATCATTCCTCAGAGTTGGAGGCATCTGTGCCTGACCCAGGCCCCACAGAATCAGACCATGAGCCTCTGCAGGCCAGGCCATCGCTGGAAGGCAGGCAGCCCTTCTCTGGGTGCTGGATACTTACCACCAGCTCTAAATATCAGGGGGGAAAAAAGCAGTACTGATCTTTATTAACCTCGCTTCCTATTCTCAGCCTTGCCTTGCATAACCTAGGAAAAGTCATTTGTCAAACACTGGACCCTTCTCTACACCTCACTATTGCGAGGCTACAGGTCCAGGGAAAATGGATTGACATCGTCTTCATCCCTAAAGATTTTCTGACTTGCAAAAGAAAGGCCTGTAACTCACTATAAAGACCAGGCAGACCTTGAACTCACAGAGATCCACCTGCCTTTGTTCCCCAAGAGCTGAGATTAAAGGCAGACATGCAGTACCATGTCCAGTAGACACCTTCTGAGTGACAGAGACTACTGGAAATAGAATGGAGAAGGACCTCGGACAGTAAGCATTCCATGCCTGAAGATCAAGCAGGCTGGATAAGTGTCTACCAGAACTATCCCAGAGGAGCCAATGCAGTGAGCTGGACGGTCTGCTGATGGCATCCTGGCACAATGTGTTACCCCTCAGCTGCAATGGAGTCTGCACTAGTTCTCACCTCACACTGCTGTGAGGACTAACTGTGACCGTTTCGCACACGACACTCATCAGCATGCAGTAAACCCCGAGGAGCTGACAGACAGTATTAGGTCAAAGCATCCAAACCACCTTAGGTCACCGGCCAACACTGCTGAATACGGACATCTCATATTTCAGCTGATATTTTCTTCCTGATGGTCACTGAGGCTCCTTCTAGCTTCTAGCTTAGCACTGAATGTTGCTGAGACATTTGATTCCACATCAGTGATGGCGCCTCAGTACCCTAGGCCCAGGCTGCAGGAACTCTTTTATAAGGGCTCCCTTTTGTTCCGGTCCCTCCCTGCTCCAGAACAAGAAGGTACCTCCTTGCCCAGGTCTTCCCGGATGACCTGTCGGACCTCCTGCATGCTGCTCTGCGGGGCCTGACTGTGCAGCACCTTCAGCGTGCTGGTGTACTCTTCCGGCAGCAGGTAGTCCAGAGCCCCCAGGTGCTGGCCCACCTTGATGAAGGTGCCCCTATTGGCACAGCAGAGCTCACAGAGACGTCTGGCGGAGCGGAGGTGCACCTGCAAGAGACAGGCAAGCCAGAGAAGTGAGAGCAGCCTGCTCCCTAGACAGTATTCCCTTCTGCCTCTCTGCTCAAACACCTTTGTTTACTCCCCAGTGTCCAGGGCAGGTACATTCACAGACACACATACACACACACACACACACATACACAAGCACGCACACACGTACACACACACACACATGCACATACACATGCACGGGTACACACATACACATGCACACGCACACACATGCACTCAAACATGCACATACATGCATACAAGCATGCAAACATATGCATACGCACATGCACACACATTCATACACACAAACGCACATACAGACATATACACACGCACACACAAACATATGCATACACACATGCGTGCGCACGCGCGCACACACACACACACCTCCTTTCATCTTTTACTTTCCTGGTCCCCAGAGAAGTCAATTCCAATCTCACACTAGGGCCAGCCTCTGCACACAGCCTGGTGATTCCAGTCTCCTCCCATTCTATCAAAGTTTAACTGGACGGAGCCTGGCTCACCACACAGCTATTAACCAAGACAAACCTACTGGCTCATTCAAGGGTATACCGAGCTCATACTTCTGCCACCTACTCCTCAGCCATCTAATACTTCAAGTTGTTTGCGGCTCCACCACTGACAGGTTGATAACAGTAATGATAGTAAATAATAATAACTACTCATATATATATATCATATTTTTTAATCCTCAAAGTAGTTCAGGGAGGCAGAGTTGATACCTTTAAAAGTAAGAAAATCAGTTGTCTTATTTAGAAAATAGAAATAAATATCCAAGGAAAGGCTACAAAGCACTCCAAGTCTAGGGCTTTATTCCCACACATGGAGCAGACAGCTGGGCAGGTTGTCAATGACGGGACCCTTCATTTACACTCTGATTCTACTAGGGTTGAAAGGCATCGCTACATGCACCCAAGATGGTCCTCCTGAGTCATCAGCCCAGCACAGCTAAGGTCTTGAGATTAGGGAGTCCTACCTTATTAGGTGTCAGATCCCGGAGTTACAGATAGTTGTGTACTGGAAATTGAACCCAGGTCCTCTGGAAGAGCAATCAGTGCTCTTAACTACTGAGCCAGCTCTCTCACCTGGGAGCTACAGCTTCTGAGTAAAGATGGGCCTTGTGGGTAATTTAGGAGACAAGGAGCCCCAGTGTGTTATGGGGACCTGTTATCTTCTTCTACCAGCAAAGTAGCAAAGGAGTTTGAACCCTGAAGACAGACTTATACTCTCAGGTGCCAAGAAGAAGAATGATGTAATTAGCAATAAACCCATGTGAAGAGTTAACCCGGATGGAAGAAATGTCTTCCTGTAAATTTAGTTGCCAGGTGAGTCACATAGCACACTGTTCCTTTAGATAGTAGTTCTCAACCTCTGGGGATCAAACAACCCTTTCACAGGGATGGCCTAAGACCATCGGAAACACAGACATTTAAATATGGGTCATAACAGTAGCAAATTGCAGTTACGAAGTAACAACAAAAATAATTTTATGGCTGGTTGAGAACCACTCTTGTGATAGTAAGAAGAGAATGCTGGGGGCTGGTGGGGTGGCTAAGCAGTCGAGAATGCTTGCTGCTCTGGCAGAGGACTTGGTTTGGTCCCCAGCACCCACATGGGAGCTCACAAACCATCCGTAACTCCAGTTCCAAGGGATCCTGTGCCTTCTGAGCTCCGTGGGAACTTGGCACGTGCATGGGGCACACCCACACATGCGGGAAAACACTCAAACACACAGGATAAATAAAAATTTAAGAAAAGAAAAAATAATGCTGCAGCCCTGAACACCCCCATCCCAGCTCCAGGCTGTCTTCAGGCCCACAGGGACCCATTTATTTCCAACCCTGTTGTATGGCTCTGATGCTCATCACAACCCATTCTAGGGGAAAGTTATGGTCCCACAACCCCACCCTCTCAGTGGAGTCCTCCAGCCTTGAAGCAGAGGGGGTCCAAGGGGCACCAATAGTCTGCTTCCTCTAGCAGGAAACAGTAAGAAATTACTCTGGACTTGGAGAGTGACCCCAGAGTTAGAGTTGGGAGATCCTCTTGCGAAGTGGAAAAACGGGGAGCTGAGGACGCAGCTCATCTGGCAGAATGCCTGTCTAGCATCCATAGGGCTCGGTTCAGTCCCAGAACCACAAAGAACTGAAACCAGGACAAAGGATCCAGTGTCAGACAGCAGAAGGACGTGAAGCTGGGTTAAGCAGTGGCCATAGCTGTCGGGGCTAAGCTGGAGTTCTGAGACGAGATGATGTGGGCTATTGTGGGCAAACAACTCAGAATGTGTGAGTCCGTGTGAGGTCAGAGGCCAACACAGATATCTTCTTCAATCACACTCACTCCAATCTTTGAGACAGGGTCTGCACTGAAGCTGGAGCTCGTCCAGTCCTCTACGCTGGCTGGCCAGTGAGCTCCAGGGCCCCACCTGTCTCCTGACTCCCCCAAAGCCGCCATTATGGGTGCACACCACTGGGACACCCAATTTTTATGTAGGTGATAGGAATCCAAACTCAGGTCCCCATGCTTACACAACAGGCACCTTACCAATTAGGCCACATCCTCTGCCCCTAGAAGATCTTAGTAAATCAAACCCCTGTAAATGGAACCATCCACACTGCCTCCCAGCTATGGCTCCGCCTCTTCTTTGATCCCAAAGCTAGGCATTAGGTTTGGGCAGCAGGGGGATTCTTTAAGGCCTAAACAGAGGCCAAACATTGCTCTTAATGGTTCCAGGATCCAGAGACATAAGCAGCCAGCTAGAGTAGGCACTGCTCAACCCAGAACCTCACAAGTTGGTGGTGGCCCATACCCTCCACATCTTGTGGTCTCCTTCTGTGAACCAACCACCGAACTCCATAATGTGCTAAGCACCCAACCGTCTGTCCCTATGGTTAGCTTGCTGTTATACCCACCAACCAGTTGCTCTGCCAGCCAGCAGGCTGCCCGAGAGGTGGAAAGAACTCGGCTACCTCATCAGAGCCAGCCTTGTTCTCTGCCCCAGCATCTCCACGAGTAGCTGCTATGTGTGTTTACTGTTACCGCCATTAGAGTCTCATTGGACCTCTTTTAAGAGTTAGCCATCTTTCACTACTTAATAATTCTTTACATCCAATTTCCTCCGTTCAAATTACTTACGTAATTAGAAGCTGGGTGATACACAGGGCTAAACCCTGGAATTAAATTTGCAATGATTAAGATGAAAATTGAGGGATTTTTCAGATCAAAGGAACTACTGAAGCCAGTGTGTGTGTGTGTGTGTGTGTGTGTGTGTGTGTGTGTGCGCGCGCGCGCGTGCGTCACTGTGTGTATGTGAGCCACTATGTGTGCAGCATATGTTGCTATGTGTGCTTGTATGTTGTGGGGTGCCCTGGGTGCATGTGTGTGTATGCACATGTGTGTATCAATGGCAGGCCTGCCCATTGTGCTCTTTAAGCTAAATTCCCATCTACATGTCCCTTTGGCTGCGAGTCCTTAGAAAGCATTAGCCTCATCCTGTCTAGCTCCTCAAAAAAGAAACAGGCTTCATTGTCGCTCATCTGTGGCTTGAAACAGTGACAAATGTGTATCTTGACACAAAGGAATGGTCACCTTCAAACACTGTCTAAGCAACACAGAAATCCATGGTTCACCCAAGCCCAGAGAGACCAGCCAACCCTGGCTCGACTATTACCTGGCACATCAGCTCCTGGGTACAGAGGCTATGTGTGCCTACAATATAGTCTGTGTAGCTCAGGGTAAGTCACCCAGCCACCAAAAATGGTGACAAAGATAGGTCATATACTCACAAAACCGGAATCCATGAAACTGTGTCAGCACCTAGTGCAATATGGTACCCTCATTTCCATTAAAGAAGCCCTGAGTCACCTTCATCTAGCTTCTAACACACACACACACACAAACACACACAACACTCAGACACAAGAAGGACTGCCACTTACAAAAAACTTAAAACATTCTGTTATGGTGAAAACCCCAAACGCTGACTAGCAGGGTAACACTTCAGGGTCCCTGCACTGCTCCAGCTCCCGCAGGTCCACTGTCCTTTTGGACAGAAGCCAGGCTCATTCTAACATTCAGGAAAGTTTCATTCCTGACTTAATGCGAAGTTTCTGGCTTTCACTCACCCCATGGTGCCTGAGCCTGCTGGTGGCACAGAATCCATGGAGGAATGGAATCATCTTCCAGCCATACACATACGCTTGATGAACGAAGCATCTCCTGACCTCTTCACCCTCTTGAAGCACACATCTTTGAGCTCAAGCACACCCGGAAGTATAAGAGAGATGAGGTGATAGACAAGACTAACCAGTCAACTTCCTGTGTCAGAAAAAATGGTCTATGGCCCACAGAGTGGCTAGAGAGTTCTAGGCCCTCTCCCAAAAAGGAAGAGATGGAGCAAGGGAAGAAAGGAGGGAGAGAGGGAGAAGATAGAAATACACATAGAAGCAGAGTGTTATTCTAAACATACAGACTTCAGGATCCCCTCAGAGACCTCCCAATTCCTGCCTCCTCCTCTGACGTCTGGTACCCATCTGTTCACTGGACCACAGTTATGCCCTTACCTAGGACCTGGCTTCACTCAGTTGGATGGAAGGGCACAGCACCTCCTCGCCAAGATCCCCAACACCTGCCTCCCATCCCCAGTGGACTTTCACGGAACAGCTGGCATGGTCTCCCTGCCCGGGCTCCTTCTCCCTTCTCACTCCCAGTTCAATAAAACATGCCTTATGATTACCTCATTATCACCTCGCTGTAATGAGTTTTAATCTGGCCCATATTAATTAAAAGCATTGTTATTCGACAGCTTGGTTTGTGGTTTGAGAGGGGGGGACAATGAATGACTAATAAGATAAACTCAGTGCCTATTAATTACTGATTTGAGCCAATGGAGCAAAGGCCCAAGCAGGACTATTCTCTTTCTCTCTCTCTCTCTCTCTCTCTCTCTCTCTCTCTCTCTCTCTCTCT